CCAGTCCCCCAGCCCCTGCCCCCTATCTCCCACCTGCTCGCCAGGTTCAACCTGCACAGACTGAGAGCCTCCGGCCCAGCCCACAGCTTGTGCCACCCAGTCCTGGGTGTCCCCCTTGTCTGGCCCAGAGATCCTGCAGTCCCTTCCTCCAGGGGTTACCCGGGGTCCCTCCGTCCGTAGGAGCTCTGGCCCTGCTCTTAGCACATCAGAAACCTGGCTCTGCCTCTGACTTCCCGTGTGACCCCAGGAAAACCCCTTCCCCAGTCTGGGCCTCAGCGCTCCCATCTGTACCATGAGGAACTGGATCTGGTGATCCAGAAGGCACTTTGACACCTGTGTCTTCCTGCCGGGCTGTTCGGGACTGGGCGGCCGTCCTTAACTTGTGTTGGATGGTCACTTCCAAGGGACTTGCCCGAGGTCATACGCAGGCCAGACAGGGATGGAGGTGGGCTGGTCTCTGACTAGGCTCAGGGCGTCTCCCTGCACTCCATACCCTTCCCCAGATGCACCTGCCTCATGCCTGTGTCTCCCCTATCAGTGTCTACACTCTGGCCCAGCCCTAGCCCTCCTCCATCTTTGCTGGGTGGCTCTGAACAGTGAGTGATCATCAGACAGTTCAGCATTGACTCCCAGGAATTGGGAACGGACTTGCCGCCGTCTCCAGAAGGACCCCAATAATGGGAGGCCAGGCAGGGTCTTGGGCTCCTTAAGTTCCATGGCTCCATCCTGCCCCTCCAGGATAGAGGGGCCTTGTCAGGACGGGGTCCAGGGTGGTGCTGATGTCCTGCAGCTGTGCTTCCGTGGTTCCACCCCTCCTCCAGGGCCCCCAAGGCGTCCAGGCAGACCTGAGTCCACACACCCCTCCTCCTCAGGCAGCCCTCACACGTCCACTTACTAACCCATATCTGTTAACCCCCTCTGGGTTCAGTGACAGCCAGATGCTGTTCTGGGCCCAGAAGTCACTTGTCTGCAAGTGTTGGAGGAGACAAAGGGACAGACACTGAGCACAGTTGGACACTAGATATGTGTTTGCTCTCGCTTAACCTGGGCAGCGGCCACTCCCTAAGCGGCCCCCGTGCAGACAGGGTCCCCTGGTGAGGTGTAGCTTGGGTCTCCAGAGCCCCAGCCAGCCCGACCAGGAGTCCCCAGCGCCCACCCTGACCGGCAGAGCTGTTCCAACTGGCAACCACCCTCACTGTCCCTCTCTGCCCAGGTTGCTGCCCACACCGTTCTTTGGGGTTGTGGAACAGACACTCTTCAAGGTGCTGCCGGGACTGGTAAGTGTGGGCCTTGGGCTCACGTGCCCTCCCTGGCTGCGCCTGGCCTCAGAGCTAGGTGAAGCCGGCGCCAGGCAGGATTAGGCCGCACTTCCCTTCCACGCCCCCAGGTAATCCACCTGGCTCCAGCTTCCGCTTGTAGTCCGTGGGTGGGCTGACAGGGTCTTCCCAGACCTCGGCCAAGCAGCCAAGCATGTGGTTCCCGACCGCCAAACCCTGCCCCTGGGTCTGAACCTTTCTCACTTCCTGCTCTGTTTTTACCACTTGTATTATTATTGACTTTGGTTTTCTTTAAAGTAGCTTGAAATTAAAATTGGATCACTTAATGATGACAAACTGAGCCCTGTGCTTAGTGATAACATCTAGAGAACCCCTCCATGTATATATATTTATACATGAGGGCGTCCCAAAAAAGCCCAAAATTTCTTCTCCCACTAGGTGAGTGTTCTAGGAACCCATCAGCATCAGTGTACTGGCTAGTGTTGTTGTGAGAGGCTGTGTTCAGCTTCAATGAATTTTTTTTTTGGTGATTCTTTCAATGCATTTGCCCATTTCATGATGGGTGATTTACGAGTACACCTGTCCACACCACACTGAGTGATCAGCAGTTTTTAACCAAAACCAGCATGATCCCCACGCCCCACCTTCCTTATTCACCCTATCTCACCCCTAGCAGCTTTTCCTTGTTTCCCCGGATGAAAAAAGTCCTCAAAGGGAAACGTTTTGCTGATATGGAAGAGGTGATCAAAAAACAGCAGAAGCACTAAAAGGCATCAAAATTGATGAGTTCAAAAACTGCTTTGAGCAGTGGGAAAAGAGTCTTGATAGGTGTATTGCATCAAACAGAGAGTACTTTGAAGGTTACTGAAGTTTAAACATGTAAGAATAAATATACAATTTTTTAATTGTTCCGGTTTCAGGGGGGTCCCCCTCATGTATATATTCATATGTCATAAATTAAACACATTATGGTTGAAGGATGCATGTCCATGGCCTGCCCTGGTCATTCTGGCTTCCATCAGGGGAAAGAACCCCACTTGAGAAGTCTCATCCGGCCCAAGCCCCATCAGCGAGGGAGAGGGTGGGGGGACCTGCTGGGGTGACACCAGCCCCCAACCCTCGACTCCCTCACGTGTGTCCACGTGAACATCTGGGTGGGTGGCAGACAATGAGGCCTCAGGTCTCCAGGGCAGGTGGCCAGGAGCTGGCTTTCGTGGGACACAAAGAGGATTTTAAAACAAGAGTTCACTGTTGGCATCTAGAAATTGCAGATTTCTCTCAACAATCCAGATTTCCGGTTCCTCTTGCTCAGTCAGCCACCGGCGGCCTGGCCCTCCCCTCCTGCGGGTGGCACGCGGCAGGTGCCGGGCCCTGCACCCCCAGCTCCATCTGGCCTCCTCCTCTCCTCTCTGTGGCTTACCTGACCCCAGAAGCACTGGGGTTTGGGGCCCCGAGGTGACCTGCAGCAACCCGCTCTTGAGTACGCAGACAGACAGGTGGCTTTCCCCTAGAAGGCAGGGCCTGGGACAGGTGGGTGAGAAGGCCCCGCTCCAGTGAGCTCCGACTCGGGATCTGGAAGCTCAGCTGTGGCTCCCTGTACTCATGGGCAGGGCTCTGCCGTAAGCACGTGGTGGTGTGCCCAGTGGAAACACAGATCCAGGTCTGACCAGGTGGAGGGAGGAGGCGGCCCCTCAGGGTCCTGACTACAGGCCTTCTGGTGCCCACCTGAGATGGGGGCTATGACCTAGAAGGGCCGCCTCCGCCCCTTCTACTCACCCGACCGGCTTCTAAAATGTCTCCCCTATACCTCTGCGCTTTGGTGTTTTCTAACGGGGCCCATGTAACCAAGGGAAGCGGGCTTGGGGCCCACTCAGCCCTCTGGCCTGAGCGCCACCCCGGCCCTGCCCCACCTGTGTGTCCCCTGTCCATCTCCATGTCCTGCCCTGCCTCGGCCCCCAGCATCGCGTGGCACATCACAAAGAAACGCAGTTGTCCGCCACAACAAGCCCTTCTTGACTGTCACTTCCATCTCCCCGACGCAGCTGTGCCCCCTGGTGGACGGTGTGCTGGGCGTGGTGAACCAGCTCCTGGGGGCTGTGCTGGGTAAGTGGGCCCACCCTTCCTTCTTGCCCTTGCTCCTGCACCCCACTGCCCCAGAGGTGGGGGCACCCGGGGGAGCCAGAGGGGCTGGAATCCCAGGACCTCGTGCCCGCTCCTCCCATGGACCGGCCGGCACCTTGAGGAAGCCCTGCGGAGGCCCTGGGGCTGAGGCCCGCCCCGCAGGGAGCGGAGACGGCGGAGCCAGCGGCCTCCCTGTGCTGGTGCTGCAGGCCCGTGTGTTTTGAACACCTGGGGTGCGTGCGGCATTGCCAGATGCAGGAGGAAGGAATTAATATTATTTTCTGGTCCGACGAGATGCCCAAGGCCTAGAGAGCTTAAGGAGGGACGCCAAGGCCCATAGCACGGCAGAGGGCAGCCCCTCTGTAGCTCACGGAAGCGCAGGGGCCTTCTGTGTTCATAAGGGGCTTTGGGAAAGGATAAAAAGGCGTCACCCAGAAGCGGAACGAACGCTTGGGCAGGCACGTCCCTGAAGGTGGGGCTGGTAAGACAGGCAGGACAGCAGTGTGTTGGTGGCACCGGCTCTGGAAGTGTGATGTCCCCGGTTGGCATCGCAGTTTCCTTCTCTGTCGAATGGAATGCCCAGGTGAATGCTCAGTAGACAGCGAGGCATCCGGCAGGCACTCAGCACATGGAGTGAGGGCTGTGACAGGGACTGGGCTCACGGGTCCCGGCTTCCTCCCTTCCCTTGCAGGCCTGGTGCCCCTGGGGGCCCTCGGGTCTGTGGAATTCTCGCTGGCCACACTGCCGCTCATCTCCAACCAGTACGTAGAGTTGGACATCAACGTGAGCAACTGGGGGTCCAGGAGGTGGCGGGGTGGTGCCAGAGAAGGCTGGGTGGGGGTGCCGAGCCGAGACCCTCCCCTGCCTTCCCCTTCCCCTGCAGCCTGTCGTGAAGAGCGTGGCCGGTGATGTCATCGACTTCCCCAAGCCCCCCGCCGCTGTCGAGGTGCCGCCCAAGGAGGACCACACGTCCCAGGTGATAGTACCACAGTTCCTCTTCAACACCGTGTTTGGACTCCTGCAGAGCAACGGTGCCCTGGACATAGACATCATCCCTGAGCTGGTGAGTGTGCCCTGGGCGCTGTCCAGGGCAGTGCTGGTGCTGTCTGGTCACATCGTCAGGGCCCAGCCTTGCTGAGTCCTCTCCCCTGTGATAGGAGAGGGTCAGGGTCTAGTGCAAGCACACTCCCTCATTCGCCCACGCCTGCGTCCGAGGGCATTGCTAATCCAAGTGGCCCCTGCCCAGTTCAGTTCAGCCCGAATGGCCCTCTGAGCCTCTCTGGATGTGACACCCCACGAAGGCACTTCCCTTCAGAAGCAGCAGTGAAACCCGATTTCCACACTGTTCCAGATGAACCCTTCTGGGGTCTAAGCCCAATTTCACATTCAAGTGTGAACCGCTAACATTCCCACTGCTTTCCCAAGAGCAGGTTTGAGTTGGAGAAAAGAAAGCTGTGGAACTGTCCCAGAGATCACTTAGACATGTGTTCCGGAAACTCCCTGCTTCCATTCTGTCCGTCTGGTCCCCCCCATGCCCTGGTGGGTCTGGAAGGCCCCGCTCCCAGAAGGTCCCTGCCCTGAAGGCTCCTGGGAAGTGGGGATAGGGCCCCAGCTGGAGGCAGGCGTTTATCAGGAGGTCCAGGGGGCAGTCAGAGCCAGGTCTGTGTGAGAACGTGTGCCTGCAGCCTGTGGACATGGGAGTGTGTGAGTGCGGGGAGAAGGTAGGCACTCAGAGGCCTCACCTGGGCACTGTCTGCACGCTGCTCTGTGTGAACTGGTCTGATCTGAGATGTCGGCAAGTCCAGTTTGGGGGTCTTTAACACCAGGGCCCAGGACACGGGGCCATGATCACTTAGCAGCCTGGCAGGACTATGGTGAACTGAGGATCCTGTCCTCCGACAGCTGCCACTCAGCTGCCCCAAAGGGAGGGAGGTACAGACCCAGGGTGACCAGCTTTTCCAACTTTTTAGCCAGAAACTGAAAGATTTATATAAAATCTCTTAATTTATAAATATTGGAAACAAACTCATAGTTTTGGAAAATACCATTTGTATAGAAGGCAGGAAGGTCTGCGGCCGGATCCTCAGGCCTCCAGATCACAAACTCTGGCTGAGGAGTTGAAAGTTTCTGAAATTAGCTGCCCAGGTTTGACTCCTGGCACTACCGCTTGCCAATCATAGGACCCTGCAGGCAAGAGCCTCAGTATCCCTGCCTGCAGATGGAGACAGTTGTAGCACCCACTTCCTGGACTGTTATAAGGGTGAAATGAGCAAAGGCTATAGACCCTCAGCATATGCTGGCCACGAGTTTAGTGCTCATAGAACACATGTGGGTGTTTAGGGATCTGTGTGTGAACGTGTCAAGGTGGAGTGAGAGTGGTAAAAAAACCTGCTGTGTGTGCTGCGGGTTGCCTGTGCTGTCTCTGTGCTCACGGGCTCCTCTGGTCTTGGGTCTTGGGTCCAGGTTCCCAGCAACATCCCACTAACAACTACAGACCTGGCAGCTTTAGTTCCTGAGGTGAGTGACCCTCTCATGGACCTTGATCACTGTAGCACTCTCTTGATGACTGTGAATGAACTCCAGAATTTTTCTCAACACAGCTCTCCAGGCAACAGCAATTGGACGTTGAGCCCAGATTCTCACTAAAATGTGAATGACTAACACTTTATCCTTTCCTAATAGCAGATTTTGCTTACAGTGTAAAGGGCCAGGGCTTGACTGCCCCGGGGGTCCATTGGGCATCTGTACTGTGGCAGTTGCTTTTCTAGCAGGCAGGAGACAAGACTCTTTCCGGGTTGCTGAGCCTCCTCCCCACCACTGCCTTCATCTCGAGCCTCGTCGTCTCTGACCCTGGAGGAGATACTCGGGGCATAGGTCTTGGAGAGGGAAGAAGAGGGAGGAGGGTCGGAGTCTGACTAGTGGACATGAGCACAGACTTCAAGACCTGGCCTCATTTCCGGCCTTCAGCGGGGCTGGACCTGTCCCACCCAGCCGCGGGAATCCGAGTTCACCCTGAAGTTGAGGTGACGCCCGCAAAGTCCTTATGTGACATCAGGGTCTGACGGGGCTGGAGAGAGGCCGTGAGGGCCTGGGCTTACACCAGAGAAAATGGAGGGCAGGGCAGCAGAGTTTGGGGGGCTCAGAGAATAACTCTGAATCCTCGAAGGTGGTGCCTCAAAGCAGCCTCAGCGAGTGAGGCTGGGGCCTCCGTTTCCCAGAGTCCCTTGGTCACAGACTCCTTGGCCCAAGAGTCTCAGGCGGGACGAGATCGAGGACAGAAGTTGTAAGACGGCAGAGAGGGAGGTGGGGCAGGCAGAGGTGGCTGGGCAGGGGTCGCCGGATGCCCCCTGCCAGGTCTGTCTCTCCGGTGCAGGGAGGCTGGGTTGTCTCAGAGGCCAGAGTCCTTGGTCCCCTCTTGGTGGCCTCACAGCTTCAGAGCCCCCAGCCCAGCGCCCAGGCTGGTCCTGTGGCTTCAAGTTCCATGGACACATGAGGAGGGAGCCGGTGGTTCCTGGCCCTGATAATCCTGCAGTGTAGAGAGGGAGTCTGGGTCCCCGGATCCCAGCACGTGAGTGACTCAAGGCTGTGGTTCTGTGTCCTAAGCTTCCGCTCCCGCAGTTCCCAGCTCTCTCTAATTCCTTACATCGTGATCATGAGACAGACTCTCCCGGCTGTGATCCATGCAGGCAGTCAACTAACATCCAGTAAGCGCCATGCACGGCCAGGCCGCGTGCCAGGACCATGTGTGCCTGCACCTGGCGCTGCACAAGGGCAGACGGTGACAAAAGCCCCTGTGCCTGAGAAGTTGCCACTGGGGGTTGGTCACAGACACTTCGTGGTCAGCAAGGGTGTGAGCAGTGCCTGAGGTGGATTAGGGCGCTGGACTGTGCTCTTAGACAGGTGCTTGGCAAGTCTCTCCAGGGAGGTGGCACTTCAGCAGAGGGCTGACAGGGGTGAGGAAGGACTGCCTGGCTACCCGGGGAGATGCTTCCAGGCACCGGGGACAGAAGCATAAAGGCCTGAGCGTGCCTGGCAGTGGGAGGTGCAGCCTCAGGGCCAGTGAGTTGGTGGAGGTGTGGGGGGCTACAGGGAAGTGGTCAGCCTGGGAGCTGAGAGGGGTGGTGGGGGAAGGGCAGGGGTATATCTCAAGGGCTGGCAGGCGGCATGAGGACTCTGACTCTGTGTGAGACAGGGAGTCTGATGTGGCATTTCCAGAGTCGGCGTCTCCCGCCTGAGCGTCAACCTTGTGGGAGCAAGACCAGGCTCGTCTGGTCCAGGTGGCAACCTCAGTGCCCAGCACGGTGCCAAGGCCCAGGTGGTGCTCAGCCAGTGTGTGTTGACTGACAGACTGACTGACTGACTGCAATCCTGGGGCATCTAAGCTGCCCTCAGGCCCCTGGCTCTGCCCCTGCATTTCTCCAGACCCTGGGGAAATTGCCCCCAGGCCAGCACCTCCTGCTCTCGCTGCGGGTGAAGGAAGCGCCCACGGTCACGCTCCAGAAGAAGAAGGCCACAGTCTCCATCACAGCTAACATCTGTGTGCTGTCTTACGTCCCTCAAGGGACCCCTGAAGCCCTTTTTGGGCTGGATGGGGTGAGTGGCTGAGGGGCGGGTGGGCACGGGGGTCTAAATAAGGCGGGCCCCCTTCAGGCCCAGGTCTGCCTCCCCTTGGTTTCGGGGTGGGAGGCCCTGTGGCACAGCACACTAAGCCCCATTCACCAACGTCTGGGCTGAGCCCCGAGCACGATGGCTCCTGCCTGCTCCCCTCCCACGGTGCCCACGCTGCTTCCCCAGGACCTCCCGCGTGGCTCCCATCTCTGGGCCTGCCCTCCAGCTCCCCAGTCCTCCGCCTCCTGTCTGCTTCTGTCTGGGCGAGGCAGTCCCTCCCCTGCTCACTCTGCCCTGGCCCCGTGGCCAGTGGCTCGAGCCTGACGCCCAGCGCCCTCCCGCCTCACCCTCCACCTCGCCCATCACTGCACCCTGAGCCCAGCCACTCGGGCCTGCCCGGTCCTGCCTCCTGGTTTGCGCAGGGTCCGCCCTGGGGGAGCTGCCCCCTCACTCGGCTGTCCCTCAACTCTCAAGACTCAGCTCAGGCACCGCCCCTCTGGGGAAGCCTCCCCTTCCCACCTGCCAGCTCCTCCCTGAGGAAGCCTCCCCTTCCCATCACCAGCAGGATGGAGGCCAAGAGCTTGCACTCGGGCAGTGCCAGTTGCCCTCAATCTTCAGACTCTGGTTTTGTGCACCAGAGCCCTCAAATCACCTCCCTGGAGCCCAGCTCAGACCTGACCTGCAGGCCTCCGTGAGGGCTAGTGGAGGGGACAGGTAGAAGACTCCCATGGCAGCCTGGCCCTCAGCAGCTTGCTGTGCCCGTGCAGGTCCTGACCCTGAGCACCCGGCTGGCCCCCTCGGCGACCGCGCTGCACGTGGCCCTGGCCCTGGATCGGTAATGTGGGGTCCTGTAATGTGGGGTCCTGCAGTCAGGATCCGGAGGGTCCTGCAGTCAGGGTCCGCCCCCCAGGGCTGACTGCGGCCACAGCTGGCATGGACTACAACCAGGGGCGCTGCCAGGGAGTTCAGCACTCTGCCTGTCCTGAGCCAAGGCACCCAACACTCCGACTCCATTTCAGTGTCCCTGCAGCCCCTCAGGCTACACTGTCTCCTGCATGTCTCCACTGCTGGACTATGGCCGACACTGCCAACCTTGACGTAGGGCCTCACCCACCACCTGGGAGCACCTCCACCTCCTGGCAGCTGCTCATGCCTCAACCCCGCAGTGGGTGGAGACGTGTGCCCAGGCTCCAGCCTTGAGCCTACACTGGGGCCAGCTACAATCCATCAGTGGCTTTAGTGGGCACTTGCTGTATGCAGAGCACTCTGCTCAGTCTGGGAATGGAGCCACTCTTGGAGGGTTCAGCCACTTACCCAGGATCAAATAGCCAGGAGTCAGGCCAGGACTCCAAGACCAGGGAGGCAGAGGTGGTGGTGCGGAGAGGGGGCTGTGAGGTCTCAGGAGGGAGGTCAGGTCCCTCCAGTTGCATTTTATAGACAGAAAAATGAGTCTCTGAGTCAAGGCTGGACAGAGGCAGAGCTGGGCCTGTTTCCCAGTCCTAGAGAATAATGGTGGGGCGGCCAGTGGTGGGACGGGGCGGGGGCAGAGAGCCTCAGTGTCTGTCTTCTCTCCGCCAGGCTCAGCCTCCAGCTGGCTCCACCCTTTGCCCACACCACTGATGTAAGTTCGCAGGAGGGCCAGGAGCTTGGGCGGTGACAAGGGTCTCCAGGTGTGGGTGGAAAGGGTGACCACAGGGCATGGGCCACGTGGCTTCAGGCCCAGCACGCCAGAGAGGGTGAAGGCGAGACAGCGGTCATCTCAGGAACACGAACATCATGGCCTTCTGAGGTCTTGGGACCTCACGCAGCTGTCAACATCTAGAACCTTGCCAGGGTCCAGATTCTGGGACTTCACACAGTGATGAGGTTTCCGAGCTCAGAGAGTTCTGCCTCAGAGCCCCGCAAGCCTGGGTTCTGGGGCTGGGCTGTCACGATGGGCTTGGGTTCCGGAACACCGCAAGGGCCCTAAGTGACGAGAACATCCCCCCTCCTTGGGCACTGCTCCCCCCACGCCCACAGACTCTTCTTCTAGGAAGGCCCTCTTTGCCAGCTTAGGGGGTCTAGGGGAAGCCACCCTGAACTACAGTCTCTCCTGCAGTGTCGCCAGCGGACAGCCCGTTTCCACAGGCCCTGAGGCCATCACGAGCTGCATGCTTGGGCTTGGGGCCCTGGGTCAGCCAGGCTTCCGGGTGCCCTCCCTGGAGGGGTGCTGCCCTGCAGATCCACTGCCCAGCCCCCCGTGTGCTCTGTTGCAGGTGTCACATCTAGAAGAATGGCTTAGTGGCGTGGTGGGCACAGCCTACGTGTCAAAACTCAATGGTATGGCGGCCTCTGCTGTGCTGGGACATGCAGAGTGTCTGACCTTGGGATTGTCCAGTCTGTTGCCCCTCTCCGTTGTTCTGATGGGTCCCCAAGGCCACAGGGGTTGATCCCCACGTGTAGGACGCAGACACCAAAGCTTCCAAACAGCCTCGATCAGCACTCTCATCATGCCAGGCTCGGGGCCCCGAAAGCTGATCTATCCTGGGTCCTGCCCTAAGCTCCCGCAATCCCGTAGAAGACAGTCCCATAAACAAATGACTAGAATACCGTTGGCCCAGAGCATGCAAAGGATTGATGGGACCACTAGGAGGCTTTGCAGAGGGGAGTCACTGACACAAGACAGAAGAGGGACATTTTTGTTTGGGTATAGGACGATAAGTAGGAGTTTGCCAGTAGGAAGCCAAGTCCCTAAGGAGAGCAATGGCTGGCTCAAGGAAAGTGTTGGAATAGGGTCAGCAAGGTCCAAGGGTCCCTAGAGTCTGAGACCCCCCCCAATATCTTTACTTTCAACCATTTTCTCATCACAGCGGCCCTGGACGTTGGAATTCCCTTACCTAAGATCCTCAATGTCAACTTTGCCAGTTCTGTTCTGGAGATCATAGAGGTGAGTTTCCCATGCAGATGTGGCCTATACGATGGAGCCTCAGATTTGCTCCCAGAATCATGGCTCCTTTGGCCCGGGGATAGTTCACACACCTGCTGTCTTTCCCTTATCCTGTGGAAGACGTGACTAATAGACCATGACACTTTTTCTTGCTGAATACTGATATGGCCTCACAGCCCTTTTCACACCAACTTTGGGTCTCGGAGCAGCCCTGGGAGGTGGGTAGAGCAGGGAGTTCTGCATCCATCTCCCAGATGAGGACCGGGGCTGAAGGGGGTCGAACTTCCGGCTCAAGGTCACCTCGTAAATTAGTGGCAGAAATGGCACTTGAGCTGATGTCCCTTGAGCCCTAAAGTCAGAACCTGTCCCCAGGGATGTCATTCGTTTGTCATTCATCTGTGTGTTCATTCATTTATTTAACGAGCGCCTGCAGTGCTGTGGGCATAGTGCAGACCACAGGGCAGATGACTGCAGGGGTGGGTATTGGAGGGACTCAGGCCTCACGGAGAGCAACTGTTCCTTCCAGAATGCCGTCGTGCTGACCGTGGCATCCCGAGGCTGAGATGGGACCACCAGCCCTCCCTGTGGACCCCCAGAGACTGCCCGTCCACCTGTCTCAGTTTTCCTATCAGTCTCTAGCCTGTGTTGGTGACAGTATAAGTGCTTCAGAGAGCACTCTGGGGTTTCGGTGGCAAGTCCCGGCTTCCAATAAAGGACTCCTCTAGCTCAGTACCTCCCGACTGGTTTGTTCCCCAGTAGCCATCTTCCCAGCTGCAGGCAGGAGGTCCTGGGAACCGAGTGGACTTGAGTGGAGTCACTGCAGCTTTGAGTCCCAAGTTGACCCTGCTGGCCTGGGCAGCTCTGTTTCTGTCTTGTCTTCCTCCCTGTCCCTCTGGGACTCTCTCTCTCTCTCCCCCTTCTCTCTCCCTCTCTTTCCCTCTCTCCCTCTCCCTCCTCCTCCCTCCCCCCTTTCCTTCCCCCCCCTCCCTTTCTCTCTCTCCCTCTTTCCCGCTTCTCCTCCCTCCCTCTTGCTCTCTCTCTCCCCCTCCTCTCTCTCAATGCCTCTACCTTTCACTCTGGCTTTCTGAGTTTGTCTGAATCTGTGTTTCTCCCCTTCTCTGACTTTGGGACACTTATCAGAAGTGATATCTGAGCAGAGCTTTGAAGGGAGAATAAGAGCTTTCCAAGGAAAAAGGCACCAGCACTCCAGGGGGCAGGAGTGAGCGCCCCTTGGCCCTGCTCCAGAGGGATCCCTGGCTGCAGACACGACACACCTGGGCACAGAACTGTGCTGGAGCTTTGGAAGACAGGAACTAGAAACTGGAGTGGGATGGCTGGCTCTGGGCACACAAGTGGGACAGGAGACGGGGTCCTGCCTCTTGGTCCTGGGCTCCTGCTCACGGCCCAAGATGGGTCTGTGGTGAAAATGGCCCAGGTTGGCACGCACGGGTGGCCTGAGCAGAGAGGAGGCAGCCAGGTGTTGGTGATTGGCTCGGGGCTTGGGGCCAGGGGACGGGCGGGGAGCCGGCACTCATCTGAAGGTCTGTCCACCACTCACCCCTCCGTCCATCTGTCCGTCCATCCATCCACGTTCCCCTCATTCCTGGGCCTCCCTGGTTTCCAGTCTCGGTGGTTTTCCGTGGCCTGGCACGTAGGCATGATGTCATTCTTGGAAGGCAGACATCTTGTTTTTCTAAACGGAAAGAAAACGCAAGGAGCAGCTGTGCCTCCGCGGCCTTTCCTTTCCCTCGCCACTCACCAGGGCCTGCTCCACGCCAGGTCTGGTGCGGGGGCCATGCAGGGGCTTGTCTCCAGTGTCCGCTGACTTCCATCATGGCTGAGAAGCCGGTCACGGGCCCCCGTGTGGTCTGGCCCTGTGACCTCAGGCAGGCCAAGGAGTCCCCGAACCTCGGCTTCTGCAGTTCAAGGATGCGGTCACGAGGGTCCAGGGTGAAGCCACTCTCCTGGCCCCTCTCCTGCTGCTGGGCAGCTCTGCCTCCGTTCGTGGCACCCTCTTTTCCCGCCTTTCCACCACGGCCTGTGGCCGCTCTCCCTTCTGCCCCCTCCCCACCGCCCGTCCTTGCCCCCAGTGACCATCTCTCGCTGTTGCTGACAGTCCTGCAGTGGCTGGATTCTCGGTGCCCACAGGGAGTCGCCAAGCTCTTGGGTATCAGCACGGGGAAGGGGCAGCTTTGTCTGTGTGCCTCAGGCTAGTCCTCCATGAACTGGGAGCATGACAGCACTCACTCACAGGTTGTGTGAGGACAAAACCGGCAGTCTCTGTGAAGTGCGGAGACACACGCTTGGCACATGGCAGAGGAGCAGTGCCGAGCAGCTGGCTTTGGCTCAGCTGACCCTCCTCCTCCGCAGAGACCCTGCTCTGTGCCTGGCCGGCCCCTACCATCCCCACAGGCTGGGAGCCTCCCGCGCTGTATGCAGGCCCAGTGGAGGGTTCACGGCCTGGACGGTCACTGCCTTGTTCTCAAGGAGAGCTCTTGTTCTCAAGAGCTCCTCAAGGCCACGTCCTGCAGCTGCACAAACCAGTGCGGGGAAGACAGCCGGCCATTCCTGAGCACGCACTGTAGACCGGACAGCCCTCAGTAGACTCAGTGGCACAGCCCCCGTCACGGATGGGCATTGCCATCCCATTTTGCATACAAGGAAACTGAAGCTCAGAGAAAAGGAATCCGATGGATTCCTCTAAATGGCAGAAGCAGGGTTTGAACCAGATCCTTCTGCCCTAGTCCCAAAGCCTGGGCTTTCACCGCCATGCTGAGAAGCACACCTTGCTGCATCTGATACACGTTTACTTGGTGCAAGACAGCTCTTGTGCGTAGACATGTCACGTCACCAGTCCTTGAACCAGCCCAGCCTTCTAGGAACTGTTTTTACCTTCATCATACAGTGGAGGAAACCGAGGCACACAGGAGTTAAGTAGTGCTGTGCCCAAGTCTGTACAGCCCCATAGTGACAAGCTCAAGATTGGAACCCTGCTCCCCACTCTGGAGCCCAGGCTCTGAACCCCCAGCCTTGGGGTGGGTAAAACAAGACTGCAGAGGACCACCGCCTGGCAGCCCCTCGCCGCCCTGGGGGAGCTGACAGGGCTGGGTGGAGGGCCGGGTGGTAGCTCTGGACCTGCTTCCTGGGTCTCAGCAGCCTCTATGTGGCACCCTACACTCGCCCCACGCGGCCCCCTACGGGGCTGAGTCACTTTCGGGTGGGTCACCTCCCAGGGAAACCTGGACATCCTTCCAGCCTTCTCCTGCCAGGCCCCTGCAGCTCCAAACAAAGCTGCCTTCCGGATACTAAGCCCAGGTGATCTCCCTGGCGCCAGGGCCACACTAATCCTCTCTGGGCGGCCAGGAGGGGCCCAGGGGATAGGCCAGCCTCGTGACCACCAGGGTCTGGCTGGCCTCAGGACTGAGGACGGGCATGGAGCCTCAGGTGACTGGCAGCAACCACTTTCATGTGTGCACTGCCATCTGCAGTTTACAGCGGGCATCGGCTCCCGCTCTCTCAGGAGCGGGAAAGCACAGTTGCCTTCTGCACTTTATTTCAACTTAAAAGGGGGATACATGTGTTTACCAAGCATTGTCTCACACCTACTAAGTGCCATGAAGACTTTAACCAAGGGAGGCTGGGAGCTGAATGACTCAGATATGTGTTGTCATTTTGAAATATCATTTCTACTTTTCCCATTTTACAAGGAGGCCCTGGGGCACAGAGAAGGAAGGTCCCTGGCACCCGTTTGTGCGCACAGCAGCTGAAGCAGGACATCCCCTGAGCAGAGGCTGCTTTCTTGAGGGAGCTGAGAGGGGGCTGTGTCTGCTGAGCTCCCCCAGGCTCCAGGCATGTTCCAGATGCTCCCCAGGTGATCTCCATACACCTCAGGGAACGTGCGAGCATGCCCGTTTCCTAGGTGGCCAGACCGAGTTGGGAGCAGGGATTGTCCAGGTTGAGAGGCAGGAGGCATGTGAGAACACAGGTGTGTGTGATGCTCGGGGTCTTTCCAGTCCCTGCAGAGACGACATGGTGACCCAGGTCTAGAACTGACACTGCTTCCTTGTGCCCCCTGTGGCCCTCCCAGACTTGCTGCAGCATGCAGGCAGCAGCGATGGCTGATGACAGGGATAACTGTGCCCCCAGTCCTGCCAGGTGCCAGGCCCTGCTCTTGCAGCTTCGCGGGCAGGAGGGTACCAACAACCATCCTATGACCAGGGTGGCCATGAGTGCTGGTGGCAGAAGACCAGCCCCAGAGCTTGTGCCTTTTCCTGCGCAATCCCCACTGCAGACAGGGAAACTGAGTCCCAAAGAGGGACCGGCCAGGGACACAGAGCCAGTGATGACGCCGGCCGATCTTGGCAGGCCTTCACGCCAAAGACAGCTGCCTCCAGAGCCCCCACTGCCTCCAGGGGGAGGGGGAAGTGTCTCCTTGTGGGGTTGGGAAATCACACATTTATTTGCAGTTGACCTGAGAGCAGGTCTTAGTGGTGAGAGCAATGGCCCCTGCCTCTCGGTGTCAGCAGTTGGGCAGGGCAGGAGCAGAGAAGAGGGCCTTGATTAAACACGGGGGTGAGAAGGTGGGGCTAGGGGTGGGAAGCAAGGAGGCCTTGGAGAAAGTTCAGTCCAGGAGAGCAGGAGGTGCCTTTGGTAATCCCCTCGTGCCTTTGCGGTGCTGGCCTAAGAACAGGGCACATACAGGTTTGCCTGGAGAAATAACACCTCAGTACGCATGCTGGGGATCCCAGGGTGGTCCAGAGGAAGGGTGAGGACTACAAGAAGCTTTCTGCAACCGCTGGCGTTTTGACCAATGGAGTCTGGAGCGGGCATCGTAGATGGCAGGGAGTGTGCATGAAAAGGCCTGGAGGCAGGGAGGCTGGAAGGAACAAGCAGCTCCATGTGAAGAGAAGAATAGGATGTGAGTGTAGTAGGTCTTGAAGGCCAAGGGAAGAGCTCTCCACCGCGATAAGAGCGTAGGCTCCCTGACTGTGTAACAGTGCCAGAACCCAGCACGTGAACACGTGAGGTTTGCGTGTCACTGTGGCCACAGATCTAAGAAAACGAATCCAAGCAGCACACAGGTGGGAATCCAAGCACACACAGTTCAGTGGGTAGTAACAGACGTCTGCAGTTGACTTGGAAATGCATGCACAGTAAAAGATGGATTGATGGACAGACGGATGCAGACAGGCAAGCCAATACAACAGACTGTAAGTGGTAGGTGTAGCTAGTGGCCACAGGATGGCAGGGATAGGAGTGTCCACCATGCGGTTCCTTCAACTTTGCTCTACGTGTGGAAATTCCTTAATGAAATATCTGGGGGAAACCTGCAGGTCCACAAAAGCCCATCTGCGCCCCAGCCCTGAGTTTGAAGAGTTAGGTCTGTGTCTGTCTCCTTCGATCCTCAGGCTAGCCCTGTGACACAGATCTCACTCTCATTTAACAGATGAAGATAGCCTGAGGCTCAGAGAGGGAAGTGGCGGGCCTGAAGTCTCCCAGGGAGCTGGGAGTTGAGTAGGGTTTAGACCTGGGTCACCCTGAGGCGGAGTCCAGGCCCAGGCGCCTCCTGCCTGCCCAGACCATCTGGACTCACCACGGCGTCTGCCCTAGAGCCAGAAGCCACACACCTCTGGGGGCATCCTGTTCCCCACCTGGACCCAAGAGCTAGGGTCTCGAGGAATGTGCCCCGGTCAGGGCTGATAAACCCCAGCTCATGTGACACTGTTCAGGGCTGAGCACATCTCTTGGAATTAGCCAAAACACAAACCACAAACCCTTGTGGTTTCGGGACTCAATGCCCGGTGTGCGGAGCAAATCTGAGTTCCGGACTCTCATAATTACACGGTGCTTCCCTCTCTGGGTCAAGGCTCAGGCTCTGGGTGCTATATAAGACCGGTCTGTGGCCAGCCTCAGCCGAAAGCAGAGGGCCGTGAATGGGCTCTTGGGACTCAGCTGCAGGAGCTCCTGGGGTAAGGAGGAGCCCTGCCCCTCCAGCCAGCAGGGGAGGCAGAGGCCTGGTGGGGAGGGTGGAGTCCCAGATTGGAGGTCCACCCGGGAGGCCCCTCTCTGAGCTCAGGTGTCCTGTCTACCCATGGGCTCAGTCGGAGAACCTCTAGGGATCAACACAAAGGCCTGAGTCACACCAGCGACAAGTGCGAGCAGAGCTGCACACGTCTTTCCCAGGGATGTCGGCTACCTGGGACCTGGCTGCCTCCCTTAGATTCCTCTGTTGTTTGCTGATACCAGAAATTCCCCCGTTGGTGTCAATCTTTTCAACTGAAGGGGCGATTCCTCTTTGAGCAAATAGCTCTCTGGGCAGCGGGGTTGGGATGAGGTGAGGAAGCCAGAAAAAAAATTATTGCATGTATCAGTCCTTCATATTCTACTAAAAGCGAGTGCCTCCAATACTCAGGTGAGAGCAAATGGGAGTAGAGAACATGCCTGGAGGCCTTGTGGACCCTCAGAGACCTGGGCAAGGAAGAGAGAAGGGGTACATAAGTGGATGGGGCTGAGGCCAACAATCTGGCCCAGGTGGGAGGCCATGCCCCACGCTATTCTCTGAGCCTGGTGAATGGGTAGCCTGGGTGATGGAGTGAGGGACGTAGCCAAGGACGTGGGGGTATGAACAGTGTCCTGGAGACCAGTTAGCTCATTCCAAATGCATCCTGCACCCCTCCAATCTCTTGACGTACTCCACCCACTTTCAGGGACATAAAGAATAGTCCCCGAAAAATAACAATAGCTGCCATTTATGGAGAGTCTGTTGTGTTCTGGATAGGATGTGTTCACGATTAAAAAGCAGAGGTCAAAAAAAGTAGAGACTCTTCCGTAAGAACGAGAGCCTGGATAGCTCCATCTAAGGCCTTCCCCCTGACCACTGGGTGCTGAACTGACTCCTCCAGAGAGACGGGAAGGGTGCTTGCTGGGCGAAGCAAAGGGGGGGCTGACGAAGGATGGACGGACAGCAAGACGGCTGGCGGGTGGATGGGTGAGAGGGCGGGAGGGCGGGTGGGCGA